GCACAATTTCGTGGATACTTATACACCTGAGTAGTTTTATTCAATATCTTTTCAAACACGAGCCTTCAGCTAAATATAGTTTTAAGTTAATCGAAAATTTTAAAGAGCAAGTCGTTGACAACTGCTGTAAAAAGGGTTGGAAATATAATTGAGAATTTTGAAGAAATTAAAGTTTAAAAAAAAAATCGCGTTCGCACAAAACAAGTTCTTTGGCAAAGCGGATTGTTTACTGAATTGGTAGAAAGCATGAACGAGTAGTTGTAAAAGGAGCATGAGCACAAAGAAGGTCTTGCATATACTTCCCTGATATGGTAAAATCGTACAGGGACAAAAGTGTCGGTATTATCGAGGTGTTATACTAAAATGTTAAAAGAAAATCATAAAAAACGGCACCCTGAGTCCGGATTAAATCATGTTTTTCTAATTTCTTGTCAATGTTCCCATCATCTACATCTTATCTTGTGAAGCAATTTTTAAAGTCGCAGAAGGTCACCGTCTTGCCACACCTACCATACCCTCCAGATATAGCCCCATGCGATTTCCCAAAACTTGAAAAGATCTAATTTTAAATCCTGAAATACCCTTGGATCAGTCATCAGTAAGTGCCTACGAAGTCTCCCTAAATCAGCGTACCGTGACGCATTACAAATTTCAAACTGCGGATAATATTTTGAAGGGATGTAATGTTCATTTGGCTATTTGAGTAGAACGCTTTCAGATATCGAACAAAACAAATTACACATCGAATAACCCACATATAATTATGTGTTTGTTCAGGCATTACTTAAAACAAATGGTTGGCATCGACTTTTTTTGTTATTATTTTTGTTGATTCCTTTTTATTTGATTTTGATTTTAACATAAGCACGAGTTAGCCTATATACCAGGATGTAAGATTTGGATGCCTGTGTTGCTAAGAAGTTTATTCATTTCCTTGTTGTGGTTCGTGGTGTAAGATCACTTTCTGGTCAGGTTATTTAAGGCTAACATCCGTCGCCTACATCTATATTCAGAGAAGTATGCGTCATTTCATTAAGGTAACGAGACTACATTGTATAATCATTATGTAACAGAAATACATGTTGATAAAATTACCCATCTATTTCCCGTGAAGATAAACTAAACTTTCCCGTTACATGCGTTTCATCTAGATGGATTAAAATTGCAGCATAGCTTAGAGTAATGGCATACCAGACAAGTACAAAGTAGAAACTAGGTAAACAAATTTGACACGACGATCTATCGAGTAAAGAAAAGAATAGTACATTCACACTGGATTCGGGAAATGAATATCAAATAGAAGCTAAAAGTTATTTGATATAAGTATAACATTTTTTTTTCGCTTTTAACGTAGATGTAAATGAACAAGTATACAATAATATCAAATTTAAAAATGAATTATATAGAAAAATATACCTTTAGAGATATAGTATTAATCAAACTTGATGTTTGAAAATACTGATATTACTATACAATATCTTTACAAAAATATAGATCAGCCCTCTTTGAGATACGGTGCATTTTTTTAATCAAGGGGCAAAATTAAAATAACCAGTTATAATGTATGCAGCTTCCTAAACATAGTCCATGTATTGCCTTGTTCAAATTTGACTTGTTCAGTAAGAATTTCATCATAGATCTCAATACATTTCTTCTTCAGTAAAAGTATTTTACCAAAAGATGAAGATATATCTAAGAATATCTTTAACGCAAAAATATATTATCTTTGTACATAAGATATCATCTCAAAATTAAACGAAATGAAGATTAAAAAAAACGAGCGCTACAAAACGCAACATAACAAACAGGAAGAAGATAAGCATAACAATTTACATGAGGATACGTTCAAAACTAAGGTACCAAGTAAAAACAAAATTATTAGAAAATGAATTAAAGGCACATTATGTTTGAGAAACGAATAATTATTTACTCGTGTAAAAAATGGCAAAAAGTGTTTTAATGGTTTAAAAACATGTTAGATGTATATCACCTGATAAAAGTAGTACTGAAAGTTAAACTGTTGGGCAGCAAAATGTGAACAAGGTAGTATTTTTACTTCCATACAAAATACTAAATCACTCTAACTGTACATATTGCAAAAAAACAACAACAGAAGAAAAAGATGGCTCAGGTTATAGGCAAATAAGTAACTTTTTGTAAAATTAAACCGTACATGAAAAAAAGCTTTTTAAAAAAGATAAAAAAAAACAATTCTGCCTAAAAATGCTTTCTTTATAATGTTCAACCCTAAAACAAATAGTGTTCCTCATATTTAACATAACATAAAGATAGTGATAAATATCTGGGAAAAAGTGATCCCCCGGAAGCATTAAAAGCAGCAAAATTTCATTAAAATTGCAGACCCGGTTTGATTAAGTCTGTACATGAGGGATAATGAAAAAGTGCAGCATCCCTCACGCCCCCAAGTACCGACTTGAGCGCCACTCAATTCTCAACACTTAAAAGTGCTGGACTCAATGATCCCGAAGGACCAGAAAATTATAACACTGATGTGAAGTACGGGGCAACGTTGTATGGCTGCCACACAGCACTTGACACCTGTTTTGATGTATAAATATCTGGAAGAAAGTGATCACTCGGAAGCATTTAAAACTTTGATGATTATGATGATGATGAGGAGGAGGATGGTGATGGCGGTGTCGTTGATGTTGGTTGTTGGGATTATTTCAGCTAGGCAAAGCCTCACCAATAGAGCTGCCATACAAACGGGGTCGGTTACCTTTATGCGGTGATTTAAAACGCATTAACAGAGCGACCAAGTTAAATGCGCTAACGGTTTACGAATTTGACGAAAAATGGTATACGTTTTGTATATTCGGCGCTTTTGTTTGTTTGTTTTTGTTTTTTTTTCTTCTTTTTTCCGCCTTTCTTGTTTTGTTGTTTTTTTGTGTTGTTTTTTGTTGCTGTTTTTGTTGTTGTTGTTGTTGTTTGTTTTTTTTGTCACATAAAGGAGATCATCTTCAATTATTCATAATAAATGTGTCACAGGGTGAGAAAAATGTGCAGCCTGACCGGGACTCGAACCCGGGACCCTCGGAATCCCGTACCGCGGCTCTACCGACTGAGCTCTCCGGCCGCTTACGCATCTTCTCCCCCTATATAGTGAACAGTTCTGAACCGTGACATACTCCCCTGCTATATTGAAATTTGTCCTCGAATTTCACAGAGTTACAGAGCAATGTGAATTAAACTCTGAGCTATATTCAGTCACGGTCCCACGTTGGGCGCCAAATGTCACAGGGTGAGAAAAATGTGCAGCCTGACCGGGACTCGAACCCGGGACCCTCGGAATACCGTACCGCGGCTCTACCGACTGAGCTCTCCGGCCGCTTACGCATCTTCTCCCCCTATATAGTGAACAGTTCTGAACCGTGACATATGTAATAAAATATAGTTCTTATATTTCAACATAATCGACGGTGATGATTCTGATGATAACTATCATTATGTTGATGGTTGGAGTGGGGGTGGTGATGACGGTGATAATGATGGTGTTAGTGGTGATGATGAAGTTGTTGGTTTTTTTGTCTTGTTTTGTTTTTCATTTTTCATTTTTTATTTGTTATCAATATTACGATTATTATTATTATTATTATTATTATTATTATTATTATTATTATTATTATTTATTTATTTTTACGGTTTTTTCCCCTAATTATTTTCTATGCATTCTTTTTTGCAATGTCTTTAGTCTTTTGACATCTTAACACAACAAGAAATAAAGACATTTTTTTAATCTTAAATAGGCAATTTAGATAGCAAAAATAGTTTAGGCGTAATAAATTAGAAGGTGTCTACTAGAATACTTTCTTACATTTTCCTTGATACTTGATATATGTGTCTACAAAGTTAATTGATTTCCGTGTATGTGTTGTTTTTATCTAGTGTCTTGTTAAAAATGTCGTTTCATTCGAGGTCTCGAATAAGTGCAAAGTTAGTATACTCAACAAATACATCATCAACAATAAGAATTATTTTTTATTAAGATTACAAACATATTTTAATATGAGCCATTTTTTATTCCTTCAAAGAAATAAAATTTAATTAATAAGTTACATGTCTACTTCAAATCTAAAACAATAATAAATACTTTTATAGAGGTAAAACTCTTATTCGTAACAAAATTTTGAAATCGTGCATTACTTGTATTGTAAACAACTGACTGGTTTAGCCGCCAATATGTTGGGAGAATGTGAAAGGTGAAAAAAGGTATTTTTTATCATTGGCTAGGAAAACCGTGTTAACAAAATTAATCAAATAGGATGTAAAAAGTTAAATAAAGGGGGATAATGCAAAGCCGGTTATTATTTAATGAAACTAAAATTACATCCCTTATCAGTAATCTATTTAAATTAGAAACAAAAAATATCATTTTAAAAGAGGCATGTGAACATACTTCTTAACGGTACAAGCAAGATAATTATGGTCTAATATTGAGCCACAACCTTTTGTTTTTTCTTTTGTCATAAATTTGAATTTATGAAAATAAAGTTACCATTTGTAAAGCACTTTCTTGATGGAAATAACGCCAAGCAAAAATGAAAAACTTGATTTTTCAATATATAATATATTTATTAAATACAATTTTTTATGAAGTTATTTAACCCTAAACATCTATATTCTATAATATGAGAGCAAACATGGACAAGAGAGAGCAATGGTCACAAAATGTAACTCCGACAACACCTAGCCAAACAGAACATACATTGTATCACGTCACTACTTAGTTGGTGATTCGGTTTATATAATAATTTAATTATATACAAATATTTTACTTTAAGCGTAATCGTCAATGCCATGCCCAGAATTTGGAATAAAAAAATGAGTCTCTTTCATATCTCTCTATTACACTTTTCCAAGGTCCCCGATAAGTTGAGAAACTTAGTAATTTTCAGTCAATGTCTAAATATTATACAATACTTACGGCACTTATCCATGTCTTAGTTCAGTAGGTCAAGCTAAATGCCATCTATTAGTGATAAGATAAGCGAAAATAATCCGAATTTCATTTTCTGCAAAGTTTATCCCACCTCCTTTTTTTCTTTACTGTAAACTAATTTCATTGGATTAATTAACATGCTGATTTCGACTTTTGTTGTTGCCGTGTGTTTGCTTAGCTATGGATCGGCAAAGAAAAGAGATAATCTAAATCGTCTGGAATCACATATAGGGATCCTCGAACAGAAATTCAAAGACCTAGAGAAACAAGGTAAATATAATGTTTGCAAAACCCTACATCCAATAATTGAACATAAAAGTTGGAAGTCTAGTCTATAGTGCTAGCGTTAATAAAATCCAAAAGGCTGAAAATTCTTCTTTTGTCATCTTTTGTTTTTCGTTTTATGAATACAAAAATCAATTGACAATCGTATACTTGCACTAGAATGTTTGACATGAAATTAAACGTAATGCGCAGATTAATTACTAACTAAAAATATGTTTCAGTTGCCAAGCAGAATAATGAACTTAGAGACCAGAAAGATTTACTTGCAGAGAAAAGTGAAGAAATCAAATTATTAAAAGAACTTCTTCAGAAAAAGGAGAGCTTCATCGATACTGCCTCTCAAAACATCGGTGCTCTTTTAAACAAAAGTCCAGGTAATAATTATTTGACATGTTTTTATTAAACAGCAAAATGATAGAAATAACAAAATTTATTTCCTTGACTTATAAAATGTACCAGTGAGTTAGCAAATTTGAATCAATTTTTCATAAGTATAAAATGCAAAGGATGTTGCAAAATAATGCCATTTGTGTTTAGTTTCATGAAAATCGTGGCATAAGTCCCTCGAGTCAAAGAATAAATACTGGAGCATTCTTGCTGACAATTCCACTGACCTTAACAGTACAACGAACATTGTTTCACATAACGACGACTTGACACAAAATGTCTGGCAAATAAGTTTGTATAAAAGATAAGTCGCTGCTCGGTATAAAAACCTATAGATATTCAGATCACCGAAGTGTGTGAAGAATAAACTGAAGATAAAATGTCCAAAAGATATATTTGGTAGCTTAATTCAGAAACGGGCATTTGCAGCTTTTTATAATATGCTGCTCGAACAGGCCCTCCTGCAACTTCTTACTTATATTAATATCTTGCTCTTAAAATGGCCTACTGAAATGTGTATTGAAGGCTATAAGCGTTTATTTTCAAGGACAGAGCAAGGACAGATCAAGTTGAGACATTTTATTAAATTTTATTAAAAATAACAACTGACATTATTTTGAAACATCCCTCGTAGTTATATTTATAAATATTTGAAATGAAGTCGTTATAATACCATTATTTTAATGCATTCAGATAAAAGATTCCTTCTCGACGATAGCGTAGCTTTCTTTGCCAGACTGGATGAAACAGAACTGACTGGTGTAGCTTTGAATCAAACCATTGTGTTTGACAAGATTGTTCTAAATGCCGGTAACGCGTTCAACGCTCAAACTGGACAATTTACTGCGCCTGTCGATGGATTTTATTTGTTATCCGTGTCCGTAGCAAGTGATCTAGGTCATAATCATCAACTACAGGTGGCGCTCATGAGAAACAACGACATCATTGCTCGTGCACATGCACATGGGGATTCTGGTCATCTAGATCAGGGCGGAGTGACTATTGTAACTGGACTAGCTGCTGGAGATAAAATCCGTGTTAAGTCAACATATCAAGATGTAACAGACTTTTATGGGAATGGTCTCACAACATTTTCTGGCTTCCAAATAATGTTCAAATAATATTGTAAGAAACAATAAAATAAAAGAAAATTAAATCATTGTTAAAGTATTGCGTCTCTTAATAATTATCACCGGTTCGTTTTAGTCCGTTCGTGCCAGAAGTAATGCACAGAGGGGCGCCAGAAGCATTCCTTCAGAAAAATAATATGGTAAATCTGCATATGATCTTAAGAGTATAGATGGCGACTTTAAATTTCCAGCTATCTTAAACTTCAAATGTCTTTAATTACATCGCTGTACTGTATTAACATGGATATATATTTGCTTTACGTATATGTAATTATTTCTTACAGTCACATTTATTGTTGATTTTGACAAAAAATCTAAATGAATCCTGTATAGATATCTGCATGATATAGATATATTAAGACTCAAGACTCAAGACTCGCTAAGCCCCATACACACTACATGTAATATCGTAATTTCCAAATTTTTACATTTTTTTTATTTTTGGGGTTATGTTACAGTTTACCTATGAGTTTTCGTTGGTCATTTAGCTGAATCAGCTTTTTCCATGTTGGCATAAGTAAAGTAATAATGACTTAGCATTTTATAATTATGATGTTCTCTTCGCGTGTTAAGCATCTATCGACTCGAACATCATATTTTGCCTTCTCTTAAACCCAAAGGAAGAAACCGCGTTCCTATCAGAGTCTTGTACTGCCTTAAAAGAATGGTCTGTATTTTAAATTGCTCATTAGTATTAAAAAGCAGCTGCGCTATTGAGTTTAAGTTATATTGGTCAGTGAACTCTGCTTGAAGATAAGAATAGATATCAAACCAGATACTAATGAAATGTCTTATCTTTCGCTGCTTTAAGTTTACTTATATATGTACAGTTCTCTAAAATTCCGTCACTCTTCATAAAATCTACTTATGTTGTTGTAATTCCAAATATCAAGTGAAATATGTTTACAGCAGTAGCCTTGTTTATTTTTAGCGTGTCTTCATGCATTGCACAGACTCATTACCGTAAGTTTTTGAATTTAATGTTTCACAAATGGAGATTTGCGATTTTATTATAACGTCGAGCTTTCATTTGTCGTCTATAAATAGTTTGTATATATCTCAAATTCTACACATTTTCATTGATTATGAGCAGTTTTGCTGATATTTAGAATCACTTTTCGAAAACACAATTTTTACACAAGAATTATTTTTAAAAAGATCTTTTTTTAAGATTCGTGCGCAGCGATTTACATGTCAAATATACTCAGCACAAGTGGCGAATACACGGTATATAACAGACTCGACCAACCATTCCAAGTGTACTGCGACTTTTACAAAGGCTACGGTTACACTTACATTTCACCTAATACCAGCGTCGCTATCAATATCGATGACCTTTACACTGATTCTACGCACGTGCTAATGCGTGACCTTCGCAAAGATGGCGGACAATATGAAGCCAAAATAGAACAAATCACAGCTTTTCATGCAACACCTCTTTCTATTCAGTATAACGCGCACACCGGATATGCCGCTCCTCAAAATTCTAAAATGACCCCGATGGTGTATGTAGGATTCTTGCCTACAGCTCAAAGTCACCGTGGTCAAAGAGAAGGGTACAAGCTTAATGGAGTTGACCAGACTTATGTTAACTGTGACGGTAATCCCAACAACTATTTCGCTTTCCTGTTCAACCATAATCATATTGCACCGTCTCCCTATCATCCCACAAACTCAGCTATGCAGCATAATTGGGTCGACAGTGCTCACCAGGTTCCACAAGCCAAGAAAATACCGAGCAGTTTCTTCTCTTTCTTTGAAATGCACTTTGGAGGGTGTGGAGCTTACGGAACCCCTCAACATATTCAGCAAGTATCTGGAGCGGCGTTGGGCTTACGATATGGTTAGCTTTAATGTTATATCTGTTACCACCTAGAAAATGATTGTACAGTTTGCCCCAATTTGATTTATGTTCAGATCTATTAGATTTTTTCTTGCATGTAATGCGAAGCGTTACTCTAAGTTTTAACTTAAATGTGTTTCATTGTTATTATTGTTGTTGTTGTTGCATGTATAATTATTTCCCTTAAAACCTAAAATTACCGAAAAGAGATAACTTAATTAGATATTAAAAAGATGGAGTGTTACCCCTTTTCTTGTCTTATTTATTTATCTATTTATTTATTATTTACTTACTTACTTATTTATTTATTTATTTATTTATTTAGGAATAAACAAAATAAATGAACATGAAATGTAATAAATGAGCCTTTGATTGTTTTTGCCTTCAGACATTACATGTAAAGCACCTGAAGATATTACTAATGGTCAAAAGACGGTAACAGGAACAACATTTGGAAGCACGGTGACATACACGTGTAACATAGGATATGACCGGGAATTTGGAGACATGACCAGAACATGTACACAGACAGGAAGATGGTCCGGTCTTACCCCAACCTGTGCCGGTATGTTTAAAAATTGTTGTTGGTGGTGGTAGTGACTGATGATGATGATGATGATGATGATGATAATGATGATGATGGTTTTGTAACGATGATGATGATGATTATCTTGTTGTTGTTGTTGTTGTTGTTGTTGTTGTTGTTGTTGTTGTTGTTGTTGTTGTTGTTGATGATGATGATGATGATGATGATGATGATGATAGTGATGATGATGATGATGATGATGATGTTGATCTTGTTATGGTAGATAATGATGATAACGATCTTGTTGTTGCTGTTGATGATGATGATGTTGATGATGATGATGATGATGATGATGATGATATTGTTATGGTTGGTGTTGATGTTGTTGTTGTTGTTGTTGTTGATGATGATGATGATGATGATGATGATGATGATGATGATGATAATGATGATCTAAAACCATTATTTATTGATTTCCCTCTCTAAAGAAGTCAATATTCAATCGTTTCTGAGGCATAATGTGCCTGTAAAGTTTTATTTTCTATTCCCTACCGTATCAATGTTTTTTTTAATTATAAGGATTGTGTGTGTGTGCGTGCGTGCGTGTGTGTGTGTGTTGGTGTGTGCGCGCGTGCGTGCGTGTGCGTGCATTTAATTGCAAGTATATCTGTATTCTTGAATTATCTATGTATGTATTATGTATCAAGCACATATATTTTCGTTCTTCAGCTTTTCCGTGCTCAAGCCATCCATGTCAAAATGGAGGAATTTGTTTCGAGGACGAAGGGACAACATATATTTGTGAGTGCCCAGAGGGATTCGAGGGTCCGATGTGTGAAACTTCGGCAGGGAAATAAACGAAAAGGCTTTGTCTTTTGCTTGTATAAATTTGAAAATAAAGAACTACGAATTAAGAGTCATTTTAGTATAATTATATGAATATGTTACCGACTTTGTTATCTAGTTGAAAATTATTAAGGTTTTGATCGATCGATCGATTGATCGATTGATTGATTGATTGATTGATAGGTCGATAGATCGATCGGTCGGTAGATCGATTGATTTAGTAATGGATTGATGAACGGATCGATTGATTGATTTTCTAAAATAAAGCAAATTATATGATAATTATCTGATTATTTGTATTAAGGAAAAAGTTGTATAATTCTAATTAAAAAATATGAAATATACTTTGATGGTTCTTATCTATTAAATTCTTCTTTGTGAAAGGTACAGTTCAGCATATTTATCTGAATGGCGTAATGCCTCAAAGGGAAATTACTCATTGCATATTAACGATACTATTTTTACTGCCTTATCTCCCTTTGACAATTAAAGGTCAAATTAAACAAAAATATCGAATAAAAACAAGAATATTAAAGTTGTTAAAGTAAATATCTCCAAGACAATATTCACAATATAACTTCAACATAATAAAAGAAAAAGATCAAGCTTCACACCTTGAAAGTTAACATTTTTTTTAATTCTAACAAACAATATCATTACCTTGATAATAAACTATTGCTATACAAATCATGGGGTTTTTTTGGTCGTTTTTTATGTTTTTTTCTTTCTTTTTTTTTTGTTAAGAAGGGTGTGGTTTGTTTGTTTCTAAAGTAAAGATAAAACAAATATTTGCAATTGTGATGAAGGAGTAAAATATTTAAAATAAACAGCACAATAAAAGCTTGATTTATTGATTGAAAAGGAAAACAACTAGAAAAGGTAACAAACTGATACGAATTCGAGTTGTTTCCCTTTATCAGTAATTTAATTGAATGATGGGAAAAAAATGTCACCCTGACAACTATGCAGTTGTGAAAAGTAAGCGTTACCACCCAGAAATTACATAATTTGTGTAGTTTATGCTTAATGAGGGTCCATCCGTCCTTTCAGGTACAAAATGCAGCTTTCGCTATCGAGTACGAACCCCGGACATGTCACCAGTCATGCCCTTAAAGAGTTAATTTTGAAGCACAAAGTGGTGATAATTTACCTCCATGCAATTTCCACGGAATATTAGCCAAAAATATGAATTTTGAGCCAAAAGTAGGTCACTGTACGTCGGCCAATGAGAACCTAAATGTACAATAACCTGAGACAATATGAAAGGGTAGCCCTGAAAAGGGCTAAGGCCTGTCGTTCAAGTCGTCTTATCGTGCTAGGGGCTCATGCACCCTAGCACACCATCCTCGTCGACTCAGAGCCTACTTTGTACGGCCACTCCCTCGGCTTTAGTCAAGACACCGGCAGCTAATTTCATTTAAGCTAAGTCGTGCCGCCATAAACGTTACTCCGAGCTGTAGAGAGCATGTGAACTTGCCGCCTTAAACGTAGCATTGGTCATTCAATCATCTGCCGATGACATGTGTCTTCTCAACGATGTACACGTACCGGGAGGTGGGGGAATGAGATGTGATTACATTACGTCCATCCGTACCAGTACTCTTTTTATACTGTGTCAGGACGGGTACGTAAGTAATTGCCTGAGGAGAAGCTAATTAATAATTGTTGTTTTTTTTTCATATTGGGTAGATTTGATAACGGGTCGGATGCCTTCAATACCTAATCAACAAAATATTAAAAAAAACGACTACATGTATTTAAGTTCTGGAACCCTCAGTGAATCAAAAAAAAATATGTATTTAAATTTCTTCAAAATGAACTTACTTCCCAGTTTCTAAAGGTAAAAAAGATGGGTATTTAGAATAAAAATCAGAATTTAATGGCAATACACCGATGAGTTTTTACTTGTCTAATGCAAAACAGTGTTCTTTAAGATGGAGACACCGTGTTTTACGCATGATTTAATTTTAGCCTGGTTCCCCGATACCGAGACTACCCTCATCACATACAACCAGACAGTTGTACAGTCCATTATTTCTATTCAGTGTTAAAATGCATTGTCTTTTTATTTGATGAAAAATGTTTTGCAACAAAGCAAGAAATCTAAAATGGGTCCCGAAATCTAAAGTTGGTGCATGTGAATGCTTTTATGTAATTTTTATTGAGGACTCACAAATTAATTTTCTCATTCTGCTGTAAATCATGCGTCTTATTCGAAATCGTATATTACTCGGCTATTTCGCAGCCAATTAAAAAACAAAAATCGACTTGCATACATATTTAGGATCATTCAGTGAATTACTGAATTCAAAATTTATAGGTCACCTTTTGGTTGATAGTAACATTTAAGGACATGAATGGTGACATGTCCGGAGTCTGTACTCTCAGGGCCTGAAAGGGCGGTTGACCCTCATTAAGCCTAGAATAAATATATACATATGTCAATTAAAATATTCTTTTAATGAAAATTTCTAAAAGAAAGAATGTCTTTGTCAAAATATTCGGAAAAACAAATAAATTGACAAAGTTATGGTTTGTTATTTCCGTGTTATAACAATTCACAATCCTCCAGTACCCTTGCACCGGCTTAAGCAGTAAAAAGAGAACGTTGCTAGTTGGCATGCATTGTACTTATAAGAAATAAAATGATTAGTGTATTTAGTTTCTTTAGTTTGTTTGTTTTGGTGTTGTTATTAATTGATTTTTTGTTATTGTTTGAATGTTTGTTGAGATTTACCTACCTACCTACCTACCTACCTACCTACCCCTATCGTGTTCTTTTCTTTATGTATTTTAAGAATTTCCTTTCGAACCGCTTTTGTATTATATTTTGTATGTGGGGGTGGCAATAAATAGGGAAAAAGAAAACACCAATATTTTGAAGTTTATTTATACTTGAGTTTTTTTAAATGGTATATCATGATTGTCAGGTATCATAACAGAATACAAAAGGCGAAGCATTTGCATGTGAATAGGATTTTATATGTTATTCGACTAAAATTCTATTGAGTTCCGTGCATAATTAATCTTCAACATTCTGTGTGAAGCACTGAAAAAGTTGTCAAATTTATATTTTAGGGAGTTTTTGAACATTTTACTTTCAAAAAGTGCGTCATAGTATATCATCATGTTATAAATAGCCATGATGAGGATACGTTGCTATGATATTGGAAGGTTTTATGTTAATCATGGCAACCATTATTTAACCGTATATATCAGCATAAATATTTACTTAATCACCGGCTCTTCTTTAGTACACATTTTTATTAACTCACCATTCCATACCTGTACAGTTGTATCGAAACAATTTAAATATTTTTCTGATTCTCTTTAAAAAGTGTTGACTTTTTATCAGTGAAAAAGACACAGTTTCACTTCTTTCAAATTATAAATGATTATAAATAATAATTTATTTCATATCATTAACATTTTGTTTTATTTAAATCTAGAACAATGTTAATCCTCACGTAAGTGAATGAAATCAGAAATATATGATAACATACAAATAGTTATATTCCTAAAGACGAAATGTTTATTTTGGTTTTACGGGGCACTAACACAATGTTGGTCAAAAGGCGCCGGAACCGGAAAGATAGTTTTGGCTAACCTCGGGTATCACAAACTTAAAACAACACCAGGGGTCAATACCACAAAAAAATAAACACTATAAGGAAGTAAATCATCAACGTTACAATCAATCAAACAATCAATCAACCAATCAACCGATCAATCAAACAATCAATCAATCAATAAGTTAAATATGTGTTGTAAAGAAAAAGTGATTTTTATTAATAAACATATAAATACACAAGTAATATGCTGCAAACATACACGAGGTGTGTTTTTGCAGAAAAAGGAAGAATATGCTGGCTCCAACAGCTATGACATATTATTAAAAAACAGTTATCTTTTAATTAATAAAACGTAACGTTTCAAGTAGTAAATGACTTTTAAGCACGATTATACATCTATATGTATCTATATGTATCATTATCATAAGCAAATAGTGTTAAGTTTATCGTGCACACATCATAAAATGTTAAACTAGTTTTTGGTTTCATATTTTATGTTTTTGTTTTCAGAGATGATTTATGTGATACTTTAAAAACCACAATGACTTAATATTTATTTATAAGAAGAGGTTTTGTTTAAACAGAAAAAAATGCAATTCACGTCCTTACAAAAGGTGTTTTGTATACGCATAAAATATCACTTGTCCGCAAAACGAACTACAATTTATTTTTTATGAAAGTATATATTAAAGTAAAGCGTCGCTTAAAAGTGAGTACGCATTAGTTTATTTTTCTTTATCTTTTATTTTATTTATTTTTTTATTTATTTTTTTTTTGTTATAAAATGTATATTATAGTTTTTTTTATTCTCCGAATATACACATATTGCTATATTACTTATATTCATATGGCTCACCTAAGAGCTATTTTCAAGTCCAAGTCAGTACCAATTTTGAAACTTTCCGAAAATTGATGAATGTTTTTTGTCTTCAGTAAAAGATGGTCAAGTCCATTTAATTAATTTATGGTTTTTAGGGTTAATAAAGTCACCTTTAGTACACAGTAATCATATTGTCTAGCAGTATATATTCAATAATGACCGGTTGGTATACGTAGGCATGCTATTCAATAAGAAAATTGATGTGTTTACCGTGAAAACTATTCAGTAAAAAGTTCATTGATTCGAAGGCTTTTAAGGTAGGCTACCACTCGTTACATTTTTTTTTTTTTTTTTTTTTTTTGGGGGGGGGGGGGGTAGTCGTTATATTGTTTAACGTTTCTTTACGGTATTGAATTATTAAAGAGTTCGTGTTTCCACATTGGCGTACTATAGAATTAACATGCGCAAAAGATTTGCACACGTGTTACTTACTGTACGTATTGCAGCTATAAATTCAAACGACCTTGCCTGTGTGTGCCCGTAAAAGTACTCGTGTCACTTGTTATACTGATCGGGTAAAATAAACTTGTAGGTTTATTAAAAAAAATAAGAAAAATTGTTTATGTACTAAAACACGCATTTCATTGTATGGTAATGTAAAATGATACCAAAATCATC